ACCGCCGCCACCACAACCATTACCCTCACCACCGCCGCCACCCGCTCACCAAGAACGGGTGGTGGTGGTGGCAGCGGAGTAGTGATGGTGGCGAAGTGGTTGCGGTGATGGAGGCGATGGTGGCGGCGGTTAATTGCACCGTCAGTACAGGCACTCGTGGACTTGAATGTTGGCATTGGTAGGATGGCGACGAATCCACCATCGCATCCACCGCTTCGGCCGCCATCCTTGGCCATGAAAGGGCAGTGGCGGTGGCGATTGGCCACGATGGCGGCGGTGGTTGAAGTAGTTATGGTGGTAGCAGCAACAGTAGACGCGTTTGCAACTGCACAGCTTTATCATCATCCCCCCTCTCTCTCTCTCTCTTTCTCTCTCTTTGTTTCTCTTGATATATATATATATATATATATACATCTCTCTCTCTCTCTCTCTCTCTCTCTCTCTCTCTCTCTCTCTCTCTGCTTGCCATCTACTTCCCTCGATGGAGGTGCTGGTGGTAGCGGGAGGGGGTCGCATCCACCACCACAACCACCACCACCTCCACCACCACCTGGGGTCAAATGTGCGGCGGTGTAAGCAATTGTGCTGGCGGTGGTGGCATCCGGCCCATAAGTGTCGACAGATGTTGGTGTTTGTGGTATTAGAAGGATTTGCAAAGCCGCCACCATCTGCATTCCTGACCCAGAACGGGTCGCGGCGGTGGCGGTGGAGTACCGCTGGTGGTGTTGTAATGGTTCTAGCGACAGTTGTGGTGTAGAATCACTGCTAACATCTGTTGTAGGAGTGAGTGGTGGTGTTCGGCCGTCGTACAGGTATAAGTTCGTAGAATGTTGAGGTGTTGGTGGTGGTGGCAGTGGGAGAGCCCCCACCAACGCCGCCAGCATCACCACCGCCATCACCCTGGCCCAGAACGGGTGGTGGTGGTGGCGATATAGTCTTGGTTGTGGAGTAGCGCTGGTGGTGGTGGAAGCGTGGTGGCATCTGCTGCAGCATGAGTAGAAGCCCTCGTAGAAGTGAGTGGTGGTGGTATGAAGGGCAGAACCCACTACCACATCCACCACCACCAGCCGTTTGGCCAGCGAAGGGTGGCGGCGGCGGCAGCGGAGTAGTACTGTTGTGGGCGAGCACATATTCCTTCAGTGGAAGAATGGAGTAATTCTTGCAAAACCAGAACAACTTTAGTGGTGAAATACCCACATATTCCTTCTGTAGAGCGTTTCAATGTTTGTACCGGGTTTCAATCGAATTCGTTGTTATGAAGATCTTCCATCTAGTTCCTTGCGTAGAGGATGTCAATGCATTCCTTTTGTAAAAATGGTTTCAACATGACTCCTGCTGTAAAGGCTTCCAAAAAGGTTCATTTCTGGCGGATGTCAATGGCATTCTTTGTGTACAAGATGTCAACCACATTTATTTTGCACGGGAACTCAATGGGACTGTTTCTATGTCCCGGGGATTTCAATCGAATTCATGGTGTTGAGGATTTCAAGGGAATTCCTTTTGTAGGAGAGTAATTCGAAAGGATATGTTGTTGAACAAAGTTTCAACCAGACTCCGTCTGTAAAAGGTTTCAATACGTCTCCTTTTTGTACAAGATTTCGGTCGGATCCCGTTTGTCGAAGATTTCTATAGAATTCCTTGTGTAGAGAATTCCAAAATGATTCCTTTTTTGTAGAAAGGGCTTCAATACAATTCGTTGCGTACGGAATTTCGATAGGCTTCTTATTCGCAGAGGATTTCAATTCGTTTCCTTTTTTGTTGTGGACCTCATCAGTAGTCTACCAGGGTCGGCTTCCCATAACTTTGCAAAGCAACATGGCATTTGTTTTACAACATCTGTAAACAGCTTAAAATCAGGATAACCAGGTTTCGCCTGCGATTCCCCCTTGCACGTTGTAATTTCAATGACTTTGGTTGGCGTGCATCTTCAGAGATTGTCAAGCGAAAGTGTGGCTGCTGTGTGTTGTTCATTGGTGTTTGACTTCAAAAATCGCTTGATATGATCAAGCAATCAGCCGAAATCAATGCATCTCAAAAAAAGAGAGGGGATCACATGCGAAACCTAGTTGTTCGACGTCAAACACTGTTGCGAACGAAGCTTGCTAAATGCAATGGTCTTGTGAACCCAAGAATGGGAGAAGATATTATGTTGGAATTCTGGCGAGGCAGATTACGATTGTAGACGGTTTCAATAATAAAAATCACCCTGTGACGTACCCAACCCTTTCTAAACATGATTATACTCAGGACCATTCAATGCTGACTGGCATTCTGAAGGACCCGCAGTGGTGGTCACTGCATAAGGGAAACAGAATCCCGAGCAGAGCAACACGCACCACGACCACGACGACGCCGACGACGACGGAGACGAGGCGCGCTTACGATCCGCACCGAAGCACGGATTTGGGAAAGGGCCCACCCTGCAGGTTCGGTTAAACAGCACATCGTTGAGCGGTGCTGCAGCCTCCCCTGAGCACAGGCCCCCCCCAGAGCATCAGCCAGGCAAGTCGGGTTTGCACCCTCATGCCTTGCTGGACTCTGGGCGCGTTTCGGCACCCTCTCCCCCAACCAGGACCCGCAGTGCGCAAGAAGAGCACCCAGCAACGATTTCAGAAGAGCGCAGCAAGAAGAGGAACGGCACATATACAAAGTGGAACACAGGGGCGTCGAAACAAACGCGCCCACAAAGTGAACACAAAAGGGCCTCCCAGGAGCCCACGAAAGTAGCGACAGTTGCGCAGATCGCAAACCCCCCAAGGGACGGCGAGGTCCCAAGGTGGTACATGTGGGACGTACCTCCGCTGGGCCTCCCAGGAGTCCACGAAAGTGGCGACGGTTGCGCAGATCGCAAGCCCCCCAGGGGGCGGCGAGGTCCCGAGGTGGTCCGCGTGGGACGTACCTCCGCTGGGCCTCCCAGGAGCCCACGAACGTGGCGACGGTTGCGCAGATCGCAAGCCCCCCAGGGGGCGGCGAGGTCCCGAGGTGGTCCGCGTGGGACGTACCTTCGCTGGGCCTCCCAGGAGCCCACGAAAGTGGCGACGGTTGCGCAGATCGCAAGCCCCACCAGGGGGCGGCGAGGTCCCGAGGTGGTCCGCGTGGGACGTACCTCCGCTGGGCCTCCCAGGAGCCCACGAACGTGGCGACGGTTGCGCAGATCACAAGCCCCCAGGGGGCGGCGAAGTCCCGAGGTGGCCCGCGTGGGACGTACCCCCGCTGGGCCTCCCGGGGGCCGCGGCCCACGAACATGGCAACGGTTGCGCAGATCGCAAGCCCCCCAAGGGGCGGCGAGGTCCCGAGGTGGTCCGCGTGGGACGTACCCCCGCTGGGCCTCCCAGGAGCCCACGAAAGTGGCGACAGTTGCGCAGATCGCAGGCGGCACGAGAGAAGAGGAGAAGGGAGCGCAGGAAACTGAAGAGGAGGAGGGGAGGAGAGGGGAGGAGGAGGAGGAGGAGGACGGGGCGACCACACTGCTTGCTCTATCCAAAACGAGTACCCAACCATAGGAGGGTTGGGAAAAATGTTGTGTTGCGGATTTCCATACGATTCCTTGTGTCGGGGGTTTCACTAGAACTCCTTGTGTAAAGAATTTCAATGGGAATTCGTGTGGGAAGAATTTCAATACTGTTCCTGTTGTAAAGAATTTCAATTGAATTCTTTGTGCTGCAGATTCCTATGGGACTCTTGTAACCCAGGATTTCAACACATTGTTTCGTAAAGGATTGTGAAAGGATTCTTGCTGTAAAGAATTTCAATCGGATTTCTTTTGCCGAGAATGTCCATCGGATTTCTTCTGTCGGAGATTTGACTAGGATTCCTTGTTATCAAGGATTCCAATCGGATTCCTTTTGTAAAAGATGGATGCACACATTGATTCCTTTTGTGGCGGATTTGCCAATTGATTCCTTGTGTGGCGGGTTTGCAAATTTACTCCTTGTGTGGTGGATGTACATGTTGATTCCTTATGTGGCGGTTTTGCACGCTCGTTTTATGTAGCGCGTTTACACATTGATTTTTGCTGTGGCCGATTTACGTAGTGGATGTTTGTGTTTGGGGTCCACAATATAAGCCCTTCGACGGCGGATTCGTTGTGCGGCGATACGTTTACGACGGCGTCGACGACCAGAAGAGGCCGCGCCCACATGTTGAACTTGTTCCCCCCGATGGGGACTCCCAGAACACCCCGTTCTCGATTTTCGAAGGGGTGGGAACGGGTCGGAAACCCCCAGTGACCCCCCCCTCGCTTTCTGCCAGCAAGGGCAGAGCACGCTCTTTCAGATCTTGAGAAACCTGCGATGGCAGGGAGAGGGGGCGGCCCGTTTGCAGGATGGAGCTCTCGCTTGAGCCTTCCCCGGAGGGCATGACCACTGGTCCACGCTTCTGCAAACAGAGATGTCGCTAGACACCTCGTTGAACTGCACGACCAAAGACTGATCGCCTTCCTGACTACGCGCCAGAAGGATACAAGGCAGTTCCTTTCGAAACGGGGCCTTCCCCAAAATGGCAAGGCCATTCAGCGCTGGCATTTCAAGGGAGTTTCTTGTAGTGAAGAACTGGGTTTGTAGGGAAGCGTGGGAAAGAGACTTGGCACGGGGCGTGTATTGCAGCAGCGCTGACGCATCTTGAGTTTACTCTAGTCCGACCCTCCTCCTCCTCCTCCTCCTCCTCCTCTTCCTCCTCCTGCCTCATCCTCCTGCCTCCTCCTCCTCCTCCTCCTCCTCCTCCTCCTCCTCCTCCTCCTCCTCCTCCTCCTCCTGCCTCCACCTTTTTCCCTCCTCTTTCCTCTCTCCTCCGTCCTCCATCCTTCGCGTCTCGGCTCAGGACACCGAAGGGCCCCCCGGCATTCGGGTTGTCAACCCTCCCTCCCTCCATCCATCCATCCTGCTCCTCCCCCGTCCCTCCTCCTCCCCCCTCCCTCCCTCTTCCCTATTCCTCATCTCCCCCCCTTTCACCCCCCCTCCTCATCCCTTCTTGGCGTCTGTCCAGACGGGCCCGCTGGGAGCCTCCAGTACAAACGGTACCCGCCGACCGCGCACCAGAAGAGCGGCAACGCCACGACGGCGAAGTCCAGCCACGGCCGGTCCGCCCTCGGGAGCACGCGCGCCAGGCGCGCCAGCGCGAGGGGGGAGGTGAGGCGAGAAAGGAAAAGAGGACGAAAAGCAAGGAGGATGAAATCCAGGATATCCAATGCATCCACGACGTGGCAAAAGGAAAGGAAAAGGACAAAAGACAAAAAAACGATCCGACGAGCCCAACCCCACCTCCTCGCCTCCCGCAGCGCGCGCGACGCGCGCGCGGGGCGGTCCTGGAGGTCGGGCACGGTCGGGAGGGAGTCGCCGACGTCGGCGGGGGAGGGGACGGGGGCGCCGCGAGCTGCACCCGCTCCTCCTCTGCATCCCCCCTCCCCCTCGACGCCGACTCCTCACCCTCTTCCCCCGCTCCGTCCTCCTCGGCCCCTCTCCTCGCCTCTGCAGCCTCCTGTGCCACTCGCTGGGACGAGGCCTGGGTGGTTCGCATGCTGCAGGAGGGGCACACGCCTTTGAAGAGTCTCTGGAGATTATTTACTCCCTTCTTGGAAGGAGGTTGGCACGGGGGCTCTAGCCAGCGAGCATCAGCAGTCGCCGTAGAGCCACACACAAAAATGCTGTGCATACTGTGGCCAAAAGAACATGCGATGAGAGTCGCGAGATGATGTGGCACCGATGCTGAGCTGCCCTCGAGCCTTCCGAAACCTACACCAACACTCATCGATGGGAGCCCCGCGCACTCAGACAGGCAAAACTTCATAACAGCAGATCACGTGCACGCCTGTGAGCAAATCGAGCAGCGCCAGCCTGAACCACATCTGGACATCGCGTGTGTCAAGGCAAGGATGGCGAGCTTCTGTCTGCTGGGCCGAGGGAGTATGGCCCTGCTTTCTCGAGGGGCATGCCAAGGCGTATCACCAGTGACAACTAGTCGTGCACTCTTGCGCAAGGGACTGGTGAAACTACGAGCTCCCCCCAACACCTCTCCGCCGCCTCGCCCGCCCAACGATCAGCACACAGGTTGCCACAAGTGAGGGGGAGTCGCCAAGAGGACGAGGGCCCCGGGGAGTCCTCTGAATTCGCTCCCGCCCACATGACCAGAGGTCCTGGTCGGGGCCGAGAGCTCCGCGCGCGCGGCCAACTGTCCATCCCTCTAGGACGGGTTGGCAATCCGTGACGTACGCCATCGGCCCCCATGGGTCTCCTCGAGCGCAAGCGCGAGCGCGACTACCTCCGCTCTCGGAGCCGTTTGACGCTTGCCAAGAACGGGGGCGGAGACGCCGCGGGTTGGGACCCATCTACCTGCGCGTTTTTGCAGCAGGACCACCGCAGAGCCATATCTCCTGCGACGAAAGCCCGCAGAACATCGGCCTCCAGGGCGGCCCCGAGGATCAACGCGGCCCCCTGGCCAGACAGCACGCGCAAATCCCTGGGCCTGGAGGCGCCACAGTGCCAGCGCTGAAGCGAGGAGGGGGGCCCGAGAAAAGTGGGAGCAGTTAGCAAATTCTCAGGCAACCCCCGCAACCACCGAGACGGGCTGCCCTCCCACCGGCTGGTCGCTTGCGGGACGAGGGGCGCGGTGGGCTCGTCGTCAGCATGGCTAGCGATGCACTCGCACCCTTAGATCCGATGAAACAGAATTTCTGGCTTACGCGTGCAGCGTTGGCACGTGACAGCAACGGCGCATCCTTCGTCAATCTGGCGCTGCCTCGGCCGCTGCCCTGCAAATGCTGCGCGCAAGTTGAAACTCCAAAGGACGACCTCTCCTCTACTTCCAAAGCGCTGTTGCTCGCGGCGTAGCCGATGGAGGTCAGCTCCTTTTCCGAGTTTCTCGCCCGCCTGGTGCGCCGACGCACCTCGCCAAAACTAGGGTTGGAGGCCTGGTGCAAAATCATCCCCAGGAGCTCAGTGTGATCTGAGACTTGCACTAGGTCGAAATCGAAGTCGCCCGCGATAAGAAACTGCGAAGCATTCTGGGCATGCGATGGCCTGCCCCAGGGGTCGGGCCCCTGCGGTCTCCACCCTGCCTGGGCGGGCGCGGCCCAGGCAGCCTCGGTCGGTCCTCGTGCCCTAGACAAATTTATCCTTTCACCTGGCACATTAAGGCTGGCACGGACATTGCCCCAGGCAAGCCTAACACGAAGCTGCACAACGGGGAAACGCTTCCAAATATCTAGCCATGAATATACTGACTTCCCAGCAATGTCCAGCCAGGGGTCGGCATGCCCCAGCGCCGCCTGCAGCGCGGTAGCACAACGCTGCCTCCTCCCAGCCCCCGAAGCGAACCTCCCCGCCCGACGTCAAAGTTTCGCCGGGCTGGATAGGCGGCGCCCCCGCGCGCCGGCGGCCGCAAGTCGCTCGCGGAAGGGCCCCTGTGCGCCAGGCTCCTTGGGCCACCTTGCGCGGGGCGGCCAGTCTGCGCATCTTCAACCAACTGGCCGAGACAAAATCTGGCCTTCTGGCGCATCTGGCCCACCTTCTTCTGACCCCGAAATTCGCCCGCTGCGACATCTGAGCCGACATCCATGCCCGAACGTGCCGGGACCTCTGGGGTTCCGTGACCCTGGCAAATCCGCGCTACCTCGTCACTCAGCTGAGTGGAAGAACCCACGACTGTAGTTGCCCCCGACGCAATTGATCTCTCGAGAGCAAGAGTCCCCCTGGGACTCGCCGCCGTCTCGCTCGCGTCACGCTCGACAGCGCCCGCGTCGCCCTCCGATCTGCCGACGGCGTCGTCGACCAAGGTCCACGCTGATGCTCGCGGGGCTCTCCGGCGCGCTGCATCTCCTACTGATCCAAGAAGAACCTTGCCAAGCGAGACTCCACGAGCGGGGCCTGCAAGCAAGGACCTGCCAGGGGCGAACGGCTCGCCGATGACCGCCGCCCCATTCAAGGCGCGCTGGGGCAGCGAACACGACGGTCTCCGGGGGGGCCACCGCGGGCGGGAAATTCAAGTCCACAGCGGCATGCATCAGCAATACGAACGCGGTGACATCGCGCCGCGGCTGTAGCAAACGCGAGCGCGCGCGAAATGTCGCCCTCGGGGACGCGGGCAAGGGCAGCTCGGAGGGCGCTGCTGCATCGGAATGCCGCGTCCCAATGCGCTTCCATTTTTTCGTTCGCCGCGCGCCTGGCTCAACGTCTCGCAAGCATGGGGGGCCATGCCTAACGCTCTCGCGCCTCCTGCAGGCTCGAGGACGACGGCGCGGACGGCGGCCAGCAGGGCGGGCGGCCACGCGAGGTCCATATCGGAGTGGATGAGCATTCCCGCGGGTTCCGTGAGTCCAGCAGGTGGCATGCGTCGTAGGTGAACTGGTCCGAGTCCATGCACACCTCGTGCTTCGTTGGGCGCCTGATTGCGGAGGATAATGGCAACGTGGCCATCGTGGAGCGGGCGCGGCGGCCCCTCGCGGGCTCGCCGAGCTGCCACTTCTAAGGCGCGAAGCACGTACTCCTGTGGTCAGCAGGGCCCACCCAGATAGTCCCCAGCCTGCCTTGACTGCGACCGCGGTGGCAGGGTCAGCCGCGATCGATCCTCGGCGCTGGATTCCGCGCGGCTGAGGGTCAGGGAGGTTGCTTGGCACGTCGGCGTGAAGCTCCAGTCTTGACCCTCCGCATCGCCTTGGCCCAGCCCATGCGCGCGTGGCGCGATCTGACCAGGGATCGCCCCATGGCTCTGTCAGCCCACTTCAGGGTTGGGCCCGCGTAGTTGCGCAGGCGGCGCAGCTCCGCGTCCAACGCGCGACCACCCCCCCTCCCAGGCGTCGACCTCCGACGCCAAGGCCCCCCTGCCGAAGATGCCAGGTTAGTGGCGTCGGTCTCCATGACATGGCTAGCAAACTGTAGCGCAGGCGCGCAAACAATGCCGCGCCGGCCGGGGGCCTCGGCCTGAACGCGCCAAAGCGAAGCCTCCAGCGAGGGGGTGGAGCAGATCCCCCACCACTCGGAGATGGGACGGGGCCCTTCGCGCGAACCCTGCCAAGCGCAAGCTTCACGCGTTGCCGGCCGATCGTATAGCCAACTGCTCGCCCGCGGAAGCTCTCGCGGTATTCTGCGGGGCTGATCTGCGCGATGGCCCGCCCCAGCGTCGCGGCCCATCAGCCGTGGCGATCATTTTGCGCGGCGCGCCCCTTGGGCCTTAAAAACGCAAGCGCACCCCCCCAATCAAGCGATCTCGCGCCTGGCGCGGCGCGGCGCGGGCGCTGGGCGACAGGGCGGGCGCGGGCCCCGCGACGCAAGCGAGGTCGTCGAACGCCTCCCGCAGCTCTTCCGGCAGTGACTGTCTGCGCGCTTCGAGGCCCTGCCGCCTGCGAAGGGTTCGCTTGCTGGTGGGCGAAGGCTTGGCTGCAGGTGCGCCCACTGTAGGCAGGGGCTCGGGCATCTCCAGAGCTCGATGCCACTGCGCCGTCGCGCCGTCCGAGAAGCCGACGGCCGCTGCGCGATGCGCCTTCCACGGCGCAGTTGCAATGGCAAGCAGGGCAACTCGCGCATCTTGCGATCATTCCATAGTCGCACATGCGCCCTTGACCTTTGTCGCAAGTGCATGATCTGGCGGCTTGATCCAGAAACCATTGGGCTCGGTGATCCGCGCCGCGCCCTGCCGCCCCTGGGATTCGCAGCTTCAGTCGGCCACGCTAATCCACGGGCGTGCCGGAACCCCGGTAAAGGCTGCCAGGGCTGTCAGAACGTCAAAGTGACATCTCAGAAGTTCAATGGATGGCCAAGTAGGTCCCGATTCAGACGGCAGCGCCTGCCTTGAGGTGCCAGGCGGAGGCCGCGAAGCCCCTGAACGGGCCCTGGCGAGCACCAGACGTGGCCAGCCGGCGAATCCTATCAAAGGACGCGGCGTCAGGTGAGGGCGAAATAACGACCATTCTCCTGCAGAGAGAACTGTTTCAGAACGTCCCGATAATGACCCAGCCACGCGAGAGAGATGCCAACCATCCTTGCGAAACTCGCGTGTCCAATGGGTGCGCAGGTCCTCTGGCTGATGGACCTCAACAAGCCCAACCAACGGATAAACACGCGGGTGTTGATGGAGAAATTCCTGCGTGACGTTGGCGAACAGGGGGGTCGCATGCAAATCCAATGCGCCGCGCTGCTCGTGGCCTTCCTCGGAGGCGCCTTGCCCAGCAGAACGAAAACCGACGACCGCCTGCTTAGCCGTCTGGCGACACGCATAGCTAGAGCTCTCCCAAGGGCCCCCCCGCCGACAAAGCCCGCGGGTTGCACGAGGCTGCTCCAGCCTTGCGCCGACGCCTGACGACGGAATAGCGGTGTCCCTCTGACCATTGATTCGAGCTGCTGGCACCTCTTTACCTGTGTGGAATTCAACACAAGGGTGCAAGTCAGGATCGCCCATTGCATTCAAATTGCTTGAATCGTGACTCTCCTCGTTGAGCTGTGGGTCCGTGTCTAACTGAGCGAATTTGTCAGCCTCTGGGTCGTCAAAGCCTCCTGCCTGCATCATCGAAATTGGAATAGTCGTTCCCGTGCCGGCCCCGCTCTCCGACCTGTGCTGTCCTGACTCAAGCGGCTGCTCGCCTTCAGCCGATGCGCTTCCGTGCTGCCCACCACGCTCTGGTCGCGCGCTTCTGCTGGTCTCAGCGGCGGGGGAGGCGCCCCTCAGCCTGGTCGCGTCTCAACATTCTCGGCCAAGGGCCTTCCACTGAGCGGTGCGGAGGACGTGGGTGTCGCATGGGCCGTAGGAGGCAGAGTCGCGCCCCTCCCGGCCTAGGTGGATCCCTGGGCCTAGGGTGTGGAGCTTCTGCCGATGGAGTCGTGCCCCTCCCCTCATCAACGCTGCCGGGCTGACGGTCACAGCGTGTGACTTTGGGCCGAGGAGGGAATGGAGCCTCCATCTCCCCGTTCGGGGGTAGGGTAGTGTTCGCGTCGTGTGGAGCCGCGCCCCTCCCCTCGCCATCACGACAAACGACAAGGCTGAAGGCCACAGGATGCTGATATGGGCCGAGGATGTGGGGCCTCTGCGTCCATGGCTGGGAGGTCAGTCACATTGAATACTAAATACAACAATTCTGATCTAACTAGAAAGAGCACATGCTTGACTAAGGCGCTGTATGTCAGGATGTGGGATGCCGGTTCCTGGCCAGCATTGAACGGACGGTGTGCGCTCGATCAATGCATTGATGCCTGGATCCAACTGCTCACGAAAGGGGTTTCTCCTGCGGTTCCGAGCACACCCTCTGCTTTTAGAGGCCTCCTAGATGGGGTCGGAGTGGATGGGGTCGGAGGATCGCGCCGCATCGCCGATACATCGGCGATGCATCGGCGATGCATCGGCGATGTATCGGTGATGCACCGGCGATGCATCGGCGACGTCGACGGGAAGCAAAGTGGGCTCCACATCGAGCCGCATCGGCGATGCATCGGCGATGTGCCGCGATCCCCCGACCCCATCTACTCCAGCCCCATCTAGGAAGCCTAGAGCTTTGCACTTGCCTTGACCCTAGGTGAAGGTATCCAGGCGGTCGCGTCACGAAACTGATGTTGCTACTCAGCTGCTGGTGCCAGTTGACTGGCACCCGAATTCGAAGCTCCTGGAGTAGGTGGTGGATCAGCAATGCCGTCCTTGTCGCCTCCTGGTGCCAAGGCTGTGGCGCCGCCTTCTGCACCTGTCTCGCGCTTCTTGGCCACCAATCGTACACGCTGGGTCTCGTACTCTTCCATCGCCTTCTTGGTGTCGGCCATGGCCCCAGCGAAGAGCTGCTTAGCGGTCTCGGAAAGCCTCGCGCGCAGCTCCCTGGCCCTGTTGAGCACCTCCTGGCGGTCCTCATCCGTGTCGACACCCTCAGGCAATTGGTCCAGCACCCCGAGGTCGAGCTTGTACGCGTCAGCTTTGCCTTCGACCAGGTCCTCCAGGCGCACCTTGGGAGTGGCCTTGGTTTTGCCAGGCGCAGGTTGGGCCTCGTGGGCAAGTCGGTCGGCCAGGTCACCATGTAACTCATCTCTCTCAGCCAGCTCGACGCGTAGCTGGTGGATGTACTCGGCGTGCTCGATCATCTGCTGCTGCCTCTTGTCGCACTTGTCGAGTTCCTTGCCCAGCTTTATGGAGACCCCCCCTTTGAGGAGGAGGAGGAGGAGGAAGAGGAGGAGGGGGAGCGAGGAACAGGGGCAAGGAGCAAGAGGAATTACGACGGAAATGGTGATACTGATGTTGATGATGATGATGATGATGATGATGATGATGATGATGATGGTGATGATGATGATGATGGTGGTGGTGGTGGTGATGGTGGTGATGGTGGAGATTATGATTAGTATGCTGGGTTTGATGATGACGTAGCACCCCGCAATTGCGGATAAGAGTGAGGGGGCGGGCGCGGGCGACGCGGGCGTCGAGCCGGCGGACCTCGTGGCCCTCACCTTCCCTGTCGATGGCGCTCTCCTCCTCCTCCTCCTCCTCCTCCTCATCCTCCTCCTCCTCCTCCCTCCTCCTCCTCTCCTCCTCCTCTTCTCTCCTCCTTCCTCCCTCCCCCCCTCGTCCTTTCATCATCGTCCTCCCATTGTCGTCCTCCCCCTCATCGGCCTCCATCATCGTCCTCCCATTGTCGTCCATCATCATCATCATCATCATCCCTCTCCTCCCCCTCCTCGTCCTCCTCCCCCTCCTCCCCCTCATCGTCCTCCTCGTCCTCCTGCTCCTCCTCCTTGTCTTTCTCCACATTCCCCTTACATCCTCTCTTTTTCCGCGTCCTCCTCGTCCCCTGTTGACTCCTCCTGCCTCCCCCTTCTTTCCCAAGATAACTGCAACACAATCCTGTTTTCCACTTTATGCTCCCCGACTTCTCTGATCAAGGCAAGTCGCCAGGGCAAAGTTGCTGGACGGGCTGGTGTGGATGCGCGGGGCTTGAAGAGGTCCTTGCGGGCTCAGACGGCATACAAAAATCTGCCGCCGCGTTTGTGCGGCATCGGTTTGTTCAGTGAACGCGGTTTGGGTCGCGGGTGGGTCGCGGGCTCTCCACCTCCACCTGGAAGGAATGCAAAAGCAGCCCGCCGCAGGCGCCAAAAAAAATGGTTTGCACACTGAACGTGGTTTGGGTCGCGGGTGGGCCGCGGGTTCTCCACCGGGAACGAATGCAAAAGATGCCCGCCGCAGGCGCCGAACAATGTGGTTTGTACCCTGAACGTGGTCGCGGGTGGGCCGCGGGCTCTCCACCTGAAACGAATGCAAAAGATGCCCGCCGCAGGCGCCGAAAAATGTGGTTTGTACCCTGAACGTGGTTTGGGTCGCGGGTTGGTCGCGAGTTGGTCGCGGGGTGGGTCGCGGGCTCTCCACCTGGAAGGAATGCAAAAAAAGCCCGCCGCAGGCGCCGAAAATTGTGGTTTGTACTTTGAACGTGGTTTGGATCGAAGGTGGGTCGCGGGTGGGTCGCGGGGTGGTGGGCCGCGGGCGGGTCGCGGTGTGGGTCGCGGGTAGGTCGCGAGGTGGGTCGCGGGGTGGGTCGCCGGGTGGGTCGCGGAGTGGGTCGCGGGGTGGGTCGCGGGTGGGTCGCGGGTGGGTCGCGGGTGGGTCGCGGGGTGGGTCGAGGGTTGGGTCGCGGGTGGGTCGCGGGGCGGGTTGCGGGTGGGACGACGACAACAAACAACAACAACAACAACAACAACAACAACAACAACCAACAACAACAACAACAACAACAACAACAACAACAACAACAAACAACAACAACAACGAGAATCCGCACCGCGGAATTCCACTTCAGCCACGCACCCAGGGACAGTGAATGACCGTTCGGCCCCCTCACTCTGATGAAGAAAATAACGATGATGATGAAGATGATCATGGTGGTGGTGATGATGGTGATGATGCTGATGCTGATGTTGCTGGTGATGATGATGGTGGTAATCGCGGCTGTTGTGATTATGATGATGATGAGTATGATGATAAGGATGATGTTGGCAATGATGGTGAAGGTGATGGTGGTGATGATGCTGAAAATGATGATGGTGATAATGATGACCATGGTGATGGTGATGGTGATGGTGATGGTGATGGTGATGGTGATGGTGATGATGATGATGATGATGATGATGATGATGATGACCATGGTAATAATGATGATGGTGATGATGATGTTGATGCTGATCCTGATGCTGATGGTGATGACGACGACGACGACGATGATGATCGTGGTCGTGGTGATGATTATGATCAAAATGATGATGATGATGGCCATAGTGATGATGGTGATGATGATGATGGTGATAATGATGCTTATGCTGATGATGATGATGATGACGATGATGATGATAATGATGATGATGATGATGATGATGATGATGATGATGATGATGATGATGATGATGATGATGATGATGACAGTGGGGATGGCCATGATGATGGTGATTATGATGCTGATGATGCTGCTGATGATGATACTAGTGCTAGTGATGATGATGCTGCTGATGATAATAATGACGGCGACGACGACGACGATGATGATGATTATCATCATCATCATCATGATACGCTCTCGAAGCGTGAGGAGGAGGAGGAGGAGGAGGAGGAGGAGGAGAAGGGAGGACCAGCCCTCCCGTCCAGTCCCGAACTGCCTTGCATGCTTCTGGCGCGTAGTCTGGAATGCGAGAAATGCCTATGTAGCACCCCGAGGATAAAACTGGGAGGGCGGGCGCAGGCTGGGTCGCGGAATGGGTGGCGGGCGAGGACGACGACGACAACAACGACGCAACAACAATCCGCACTACGGAACCCCACTTCAGCCATGCGCCCAAGGACAGCGAATGACCGCTCGCCCCCTCACTCATGACCATACGGTTCAAGAAAGTGTCCAGCGAGATCCCTTTTCTGTAGAAGGACCACACTTCCTGATTAGTATAGCTGTTGCGCACATTTTCAATTCTGGCCATGCACGCGGGCAATATTTACATCGATATCCAGTGCGTCTTGAACTGTCTTGGCAGGGGCGCCGCAAGGCCGAGGCGCACCAAATAAACTGGGCCTGGGGGTTGGTTCGGCGGTTCCGTGGTCGCCGTCGCCGCCCCGTCGCCGCCTCGTCGCCGCCCGTCGTCTGGGCGTGGGGGTCGGTCTGGCGGTTCCATGGTCGCCGTCGCCGCCCCGTCGCCGCCTCGTCGCCACCCGCCGCAATGGCTGCGTTCGCATGCGCCCGCCGCACCCATCTCGGCACACCCCGCACACGTTTCGCGGCCCCATAAGGAGCTCCACCGAAGGCCGCAATGGCTGCTTTCGCATGCGCCCGCCGCACCAGTTCCATCCCTCATACGCTTCGTGACCCCATAGGGAGCTCCACCGGAGGCCCCAAGGGCTGCGTTCGCATGCGCCCGCCGCACCCATTTCGACACACCACCCACACGCTTCGTGACCCGACAGGGAACGTCACCGAAGACGATACTCACAACTGCGTTACTCACACCTGCATATGGTTGGGTCCTTCGCCGGGCTAATTTTACGACGCGAGCACGTCTGGGGAAGCAGCTGGGGAGGGGAGGACCCCCAGCCCGTCACTGCGAGGAGGACCATCTGAGGGAGCGTAGGCCATGCCCGGCCGAGGACGGCCGCGCCCGCGGGAGGCTGCGCGCCACGCCCGGCCAACCCACTGAAGGAGGCCGCTGGGGCTGCCACCAGTCGCTGGACTCCGACGGGGCGCTGCCGGCGGCCGTGGCGTTCTCCTCGGGCACGCGCGGCTGCAGCAGGAGGTCGACTGCAGAGTTGATTCACCCCGAGACTGATTTTCGCGACGAATCTACGAGACAAATGCGCCGCCGTGAAGCTGGGCACGGAGAGGGCGTGCCCTCAGGCCCTTTTGCCGAATCCTCCAAGCCTCAGTCCTCACTCCCAGAGGATCTTTGAGGGGCCTGGACCCCAAATTCACAAATCTGCTTAGTTTCCCCCCGGTTCCCCTGGGCTCCCCCGCGGCTTCCCGCATGAATTCTCGCGCCCAAGGGGCCCAAGAGGGCCCCAAGACGGCCCAGGAGGGCCACGAGACGCCCCAAAGCCCCCAAGGCGGCTCCGAGATGGGGACCAGACGGGGAACCCGACTGGACAGTTCGAGCCCTCGGCCCCAAGAGGCCCTCAGGAGGCCCCAAGAAGCCACAGGGAGGCTCCCAGGAGGCCCCAAGAGGCTTCCAAAAGGCTCCAAACAGGTCCCCAAAGAGGCCCCCAACTGTCCCCAAGAGGCCCCAAGACTATCCCCAAGAGGACCTCAAGAAACATCCCTAAGGACTCTGATCCACAATCCAGGCACGGCGGCGCGATGGGCCGCAGGCCACTACACACGTAGAATGCCAGTAGATCTACTAACGTATTACATGTTTTTTCTCATTGATTCGGCGAGGAAACCAAGTTTGGGGTGAATCATTCTGCAGGGAAGGATAAACTGCATGAGCATACACTGCTGGAGGTCCGCGCAGACTTCTTCGATCCGCGCTGGACCCCCTCCCTGGGGCGCGGAGCAGGCCAGGTCCGGCGCCGCATTCAAGACGCGCGCTCCAGCAGCGTCCACGAGGAGTGTGGGAGTCCTGGTCGCCAAGAAGCGAGGGGAGGAGGAGAAGGAGAAGGAGGCGAAGGAGGAGGAGGGAGTAGGCCCAGCGACGATCCAAGAAACCAGTGCGGAGCTCCAACAGTTTTATGCTCATGCAGCCTCTTTCTTCCTCGATGCAATCAAAATTTGTAGCGAGGACGGGCGCTAGCGACGCACGGGCCTCGGCCGCCGAAGCTGGCACGTCTTTTCAGCGGCGGGCTGCCAACACCCCAGGGGCGCAAGGGTACTCCAACCCAACCGCCGTCCTTGCCGGGTGGGCGTCGGGGCCGAGCTTCAAACCAAACACAGCGCCAGGACGCAAGGGCACCATGAGGAAAGCCGTGAGCTCCTGTGATGGATGTTGAGTGTAACATCCATTCTCGGCGGCGCACCCCGGGGAGCAGGCACAGGGGGCGGGGACTCTCAGTCGGGGATCTCCTAACCCGGGTCAATCAGACCGGGGTCAGCAGCAAACCAGAAAGCCGCAACGCAGAACGAAAAAGCTGCAACGCAGGACTTCGCAAACCCGGGCCAGCCAATATGCGCGGCCGCCTCGCGGCCACGAGCGGCTCGCTAACCCGGGTCAGCCAGAAGGGTCTTCGCAGGAACCTGCAGGATCCAGTGCCTGGCTGACCCCCGTTTGCATTGACCCCCATCTCTTAAGCCCCGACTCAGAAGACTCGCAATGCCTCCGGCCTTGGGAGAAGCTGTCCGAGCCTTCTTCGAGGCCGCGCCGCCTTCTGAGACGACCCACCTCCTCACTATCCCCCTTGGCGAACCGCCGAAATCAGGCACCCGCGGATCTGGTGCTTGGGCGATGGGGGAACGTACCCTTCCAGACATGAGGACGGTGCCGCCCCGTTGGGGACGGGGCGAGTCGATTCCGCATGGAAGCGAGACCCGTCGCCACTCCACGCGCCTAGATACACGTTTGCGCTTCCTCGATCTCCTTCGGGGGAAATTCTCCCCTCGCGATCGCTCGGACGTGCATTCCCCGCGCACTTTTCGATGCCGCGCGTGTTTGTTATTTCTGTTCGCAAGATGATCCAGCCTCGATGGCCCTCGCCGAGGATCGGGCCGGGCGAAAGGGGGAGATAGCAAAGGGGGGGGGTGAGAATCAGCTCACATAGCTGATTTTCCCGGCGCCTCCCGGCGCCGGAGGCGGCTATGCATCGAGGAATGGGCCCCTCGGTGGGGCCGAAACCGGCTGCATGCAGCAGATTTCGTAACCCCCCCTTTCCCAATCCCCCCCTTTCGTTCCGCCCGAGAAGAAGAAACGCACACGTCCGAGCGATGCCAGGTCCACCCCCGACCAGAGGTCCACGAGGCCCGCGCCCGGGCTCCCCGAGGGCCTCGGATATGGGGCGCCGCAGGCCCGGGGGGGGACCCTCGGCGACCCTCTTGAGGTCCGACGTCGCGAAGGGTACGCAGCACTTGTTTTTTCACCCCCCAACGCAGCGCCGCAAGGCTGCGCAACAGCGTGAAACGGAGCAGCGAAAGGAAGCCGCTAATCCGCACGTGCCCGCGTGCAGAGTGTTCCAATGGGCCTTGAAACATCAGCAGCGGAGCCCTCGGGCCCGGCCGTGGAGCTCTCGGCGCAGCCTCCCCCCGCCTGGGGCCGAAGAGCGGGGGGTCGGAGGTGCGATCCCAGACCTGCAAGGCATATCTGGAACACTCAGTGAGCTCGGCGCGGCACCATTGAGGGGTCTTCGTTCTTCCAAACAGTTCAGCGCAGCTCCGCACAATTCAAAGCAATGCAATGCAAAGCATTGCTTGGCATTGCTTCGAGCCGCTGCTTAGTACAATTGCTTGGCATGCTGCTTGGCGTTGCTTCCCATCGCTTGGCATTGATCGGCACGGCACGGGAAGGAAAGCAAGGAACAATACCGGGGCCGAGCAGGTGACGCACTATGCCTCCAGCGGTCCACGTCTGCGGAGACGCCGGCAGCGAATCCGGTTCCATACTGGGCAGGGGGTGCCGCTCGTCTTCGCCACAACTCTTTCCATGGCTACATTTAAGTCGGGCGTGTCCCCCTACAGGGGGATTTTGGGCGAAAAACTGAAAATACTCAAAACATACCCCCCCAGTGGGTAAAAATAGTCAAAACATCGTCCCCAGACTATTTTTTTACTATTTTTGAATATTCCCCCTGCAGGGGGACAGGCCCGACTTAAGGCTACATGCACAAGTGACCCTATAGACAAAAGAGTGACCTTTGCTGCCCGGCCTTTGGGGGGGCGCGGGGGAACCGTTCGGACCTCGAGGGCTCGAGGGTGGCTGCGGCCCGAGCGCGGAGCAGCCTTCCCGCACACTCGAGGTTGGGCACGCCGCTGGCGGTGGCCTTGTGGTCGGTTGGGGGCGGTGCGGAATGCCATTACGTGTGGGATAGTGTGCGGGGGGATACCCCACACGTCGTCAGGAAGGGAGCGCAGCAGAAATGAGTCCTGTGCGGCGCTCCAAACTCGGTGCGCTCGGGCCTGCCCTGGGGCTCGGTCGATCCGGTACCAAGTTTGCCCGGGCTGGGGCCTATCGCCGTGGGGTACCGTCCGCCCACTTGCCCGTCTGTGCGGGCACCTGGTGAGGGGGGCCAAACCTGGTGAGGGGGGCCAAATGGGTCGGACTTCAGAGAGGCGTCCAGCGATGGGCGACTTGTGCGATACCAGGAGCACGAGTTCGCTCAGGTCGTCCCTGCTCCAGTCCAGGTGCCAGTCCCCTTCCCAGGTAAAGAGGTGGTATTCCCATTATTCCTCTTTGTGGTCGTTGAGGCAGTTACGGAGCTTCCAGTCCCTCACTACTTCTGGGGGCCGTTCGGGGTCATACTTCTGGATGGCTACGTCCAGAGCGCAAGTGCGCCGCTTCCGCAATTCGTCCCTAGTTTTGCTGGTCACGTCGTCCTGGGGTTCGAGCCTGGCATATTGTTCGATCTCGAACACCTGATACAGCCTCTGTCCTTTCGCGTGCAAGTCCCACTGCCACCTGGGTGGTAAGGTGACCAGCTCGGGTATAGGGCCAACGGGTCGCTATATGAGCTGCATGGGAGAGAGGTGCCAAGGGTGAGCGTACGTCGCTTGCACTCCTCGTGCCGCTTTGATGCCGGGGGGTAGCTCGTGATCGCCTGCGTGGTAGGACGTTTGCAGGCCGTCGTCGCTGCGGAGTGCCAGCGGCTGCTCGGGGGGGCAGGGGGGGTCGGCCTCTGGTAGGTGGTACGTCGGGGCGGTGGCGGACACGGGCGGGGCGTCGTTGCTCCCTGCTGGCGTCCCCCACGGGACCACGAGGGAAAACATGAAAGAGACCCTGCCGGGGACCCTACGGGAGACCATACGATGCGGGAGACCACACGGAAGACCAGTCGGGGGGACCACACGGGAGACCACACGGGAGACGACGAGCCACCGATCCGTGATCCGGGAGGACGCGCCGCCGCCGCGACAGGGCCGCCCGCCCGCGCGGCCTCTGCGGCGGCGGCGGCCGCCAGCAGCCCCAGCGCCGCCGAGGCCTGCAGGGCGGCGCCCATCGGGCGCCCACGCCGGCGCGGAGGGGCGCGGCGGGGGGGGGGGGGCGCCCCGCAGCTCCCCGCTGGGTGTTGCCAGTGGTGGTCCTGGCCCAAAGCATCCCTTCAGATCCCCTGGCAGATCGACTTGGCCCGAGGAAGGGCACAGATGGAAACGGTCTAGGGCTGTGGTCGTGGTTCTTCGCGATGCTGCAAGTTCTGCAGCGTCAAATCTGAGAGTCTGTCCGCCGCTTCTCGCGCCGACTCTGGAGCCCCTGGTGCCTCTGAGCCTCGTGGCGAGGGGGTGCTCTGGGGAGGCCACCTGGGCCTTCCCAGCAGATCCCCGGCCTTCGCGAGGGGAGCTCCGGAGGCCACCTGGGCCTCCCCAGGCATCCTGGGAACCTCTGGGACTCTGGGCCGTGGGGGGGGGGGGGGGGGAGGGAGGGGGAGGGGAGGGGAGGGGAGGGGAGGGGAGGGGAGGGGAGGGGAGGGGAGGGGAGGGGAGGGGGGAGGGGAGGGGGAGGGGGAGGAGAGGGGGAGGGGAGGGGAGGGGGAGGAGAGGGGGAGAGGAGAGGGAAGGGAGGGGGGGGGGGGGAGGGGGAGGGCCCACCTGGGCCTCTCTGAGGGGCACCCTTGGCAGCACCCGAGGCCCCTGGCTGGCCCGGCTGGGCGGCGCAGGCGGGCTGCAGGGCGCGGCCTCCCCCTCCCACAGGGCCCCGAAGCCTCTGCCGGCGGCGGGCGAGCTGTTCCCACGAGCCCGGCTCCGAACGACCTGGAACCTGTCCACGGTGCTTGTGGTGAGGGATACCCAACTGTAGTCCCACCCAATAGGGTCAGAGTAGTTGGGTGTGATCGGAGGGTCGCGCCGCATCAACGATGCATCACCGATGCATCGGCGACGTCGGCGCTGAGAAACTCCGGCTCCGCCTCGAGCCGCATCGCCAATGCATCGGCGATGCGGCGCGATCCTCCGAATTAGCCTCATCCAGCTCCGACCCCATCTAGGAGGTCTAGAACCTGGACCCCGCCGATCGGACGACTTCTTCCCCCAACTTTCCAACACAGCGTGGTGGCAGCAAAAATCCGCACAGAAGACGAACGGCCCTCAGTGAGGGACCGCACGCTGACGGTCTGCGGCCGACGATTCTCTCCGCAGAACTTGGAGCGCGTTTGTTTATGTTCGGCGATGACGGGCGTCATGGGGGGGGGGCGAAGGGGGGTATGACGTAACGCCCCCCCCCGCCGTGTGGCTCCGGCACCGCAGCCGCGGCCGCGCGCGCGACGCGACGAGCGACGAGCGACGAGCGACTACGACGACGACGACGACGACGACGACGACGACGACGACGACGACGACGACGCGAGCAGCATGCAGGTGGCGATATGCCCCACTGCGCCTGTGTACACCACGGCGCTCGCGTGCACCACAGCGCGTGTGTATACCACAGCGCCTACGTACACCGCAGCAACCGTGTGCAACGCAGCGCCTGTGCACACCACAGTGCTGGCGTGCACTACAGCGCCGGTGTACATGTGTACACCGCAGCTACCATGTGCAACACAGCGCCTGTGTACACCACAGTGCTTGCGTGCACCGCAGCGCCTGTGCGCGCCACAGCGAGCGTCTACACCACAGCATCCGCGTGCAACGCAGCGCTGGTGTACACCACAATGCCTGCGTGCATAGGACAAGTAGAGAGAGCATATTCGTGAGGATCTGCTGCGGACAACTAGACGCCACGCCAGGAAAGTGCTGATAATCGAATGCGACGTTCTTCCAGTATCCCTGCTCCTCCACCTCCACCACCTCCTCCTCCTCCTCTTTTTCCTCATCCTCCTCCTCTTTTTCCTCATCCTCCTCCTCCTTTACCTCCTCCTCCTCCTCCTCCTCCTCCTCCTCCTCCTCCTCCTTACCCCCTGTCCTGCGGGTTGGCGCTACACCGCACGTGCTCATCTCAGAGCGCACCGCAGAATGATCTATTGAATCGGCCCACTTGACTCTCGGACGGCCAACTTAGCTGGAACCTCCTGGACGCAGATGGGAGGAATTAGGGTGATGCGGGCGGACTCGGGAGGACGCGTAGATTCCAGCGGCGCTCCGGCGTCCATAAGATTTATTTTCTATTGTTTTCCGTGGAATCCACAAGCGCTCCATTTTGTCATAAGGATTCGTTCCAACATTCTATATACAACAATGGTTTTGTGTTGCACACGGTTGCTGTGGTGCACACAAGCGCCGTGGTGCACACAGGCACCGTAATGCACGCAGGCATTGTGGTTTACACTGGTGCTGCGTTGCTCACGGCTGATGTGGTGTACGCAAGCGCTGTGGTGTGCACAAGAGCTGTTGTGCACGCGGGCACGGTGGCACAAACTGACGCTGTGTTGCACGCGGCTGCTGTGGTGTACACATAGGCGGTGTGGTGTACACAAGCGCTGTGGTGCACGCAAACACTGTGGCCCCCCTAGATGATTGCCATCATCGGCCCGGAATATAAAAACAGGTTTCAGCCGCGTCCGCGCGCACGACGACTACGAGCGACGAGCGACAAGCCACGAGCGACGACGACGACGACGACGACGACGACGACGACGACGACGACGACGACGACGACGACGACGACGACTGCGGACCAGACTCCTATGCGGAATCCTACGTGGACACCTGCGCGGATCCCAATGCGCACGGCGGCAGAGCCCAGAGCGCACTGGGGGGGGAGTGTTACGTCATAGGGGGGAGGGGGGGGGAGCGGGGGCCATGACGCCCGTCATGCCCCAAGCAATAAAGAAACGGGCTCTTGCACAAGACTCGACAAATTGTTGTTTTTCCTCTGAGGGTTTCACCCTCCACTGGGGGAAGTGGCAGTCGCACCCCGCCCGGAAAAAAAACAGCGGTCGGGAATCAGAGACCCGGCCAACCTTTGCTGACGCCGCCATCCCGCCAAGCAGACGCCCGAGCCCACTCCGCCGCTCGGCCCAAGCCTGCGCGCAGCCTGGCCACGGAAGGCAACCTAAACGAGTGCTGGGCGCGATGGACGAAGACAAGGTAAACGCAACGGGCTCGACGAGCCGCTCTCTTCGCAGAGCCCCCTTCGCCAGCCAAGACAATCACTGCTCCATGCCAGGGCTCGAGCTAACGGTGTGGTTCGTGCTCGTGTTGTCTTCGGTTTCCTTCGTTCTGTCTTCATTCCGCCTTTGCTGCAAAACTTAACCAAAACGAACACGGTCCACGAAACCACCATGACATCGTTCAGCTCAAGCCCGCTGGGATTCTGGCGGCGTCGCAGGGGGTGAATGGGCGCGCGGCCTTGCGCAGCGGACTGTTCCGACCGGGGCACAACTTGCCATCGCTCGGACGTTCATTCCCAGTGCATTTGTCGGTGTCGTGCGTGCTTCTCTTGCAGGATGATCCCTCGGATGCCCCAAGACGCACCCGAGAGGCGCTGTCCCACGAGGCATCCCGAAAACGGTCACGAAACAGGCTCCTGGATGGGCTGGTGGGGACACGCGAAGGGTCCAGAGTGGTAGCAATGGCGTGGCGAAAACACAAGCCACAACACAACACAAAATTTGGGGGCGAGCCCAGGGGGGAGTGAGAGGAGGCAGGCCATATCAGAAGGCGGCGGGGCTTCTCAGAGGCCCCAGCGCCTTCCGAGAAGCCTCCTGAGCCTTCTCCGAAGACAGAGACGGATTCCCAGAAGGCGCGAGGGCTTCTGAGAAGCCCCGTCACCTCTGAGAAGGCCTGCAGTCCTCTCACTTCCCCCCCCCGGGCGCGCCGCCGCGCGGCAGCCATCGCCTGGCGGAAGCAGCAGCTGCAGCACAGCACCAAAGCAGTCGGGCGGCGTGCAGTGTTCCGGGCGGCCCCGGAGCGGTGCCGCCGCGCGCAGCACGGCCAGGTCTTCGCACCCTCGCGCCGCCCCCCGATGCAGAAGCACAAGCACGCAGGCCAGGCCGCGAGGCCCCGTAAGGGGCTGGCAGGCTCGTGCCGTGACACCTGAAGGGGCCCTGCGACACACAGACAAATGGACACAAATAACGGGATCCCGCTGCATATTTTCCCAATACTTTCTGGGTTTTTGCCTTCTCCCCCACTTCCCATATGTTCCTATCTTTTCTGGGGGATCGACGATGACTTGTGGCTGTGTGTTTTTTCCCCTCCTGAACACCTCTGGCTTCTGCTGGCACCGCGTGGAGCGCTCAGCCTGGGACGACCGGCGGCTTAAGGATCGCCAGATCGGTGCAAATGGGCCGATCCTGGGCCACTGGCAGCCTTCCACCCCTGAACGCTCGCACTGGGGTCGTCGCCGCGTCGGCACGACACAAACATGCCGAATTCGAGAGAGAGAGCAATTCTGGAGGCCTCGAAATTGGCACCAACACAAACACAGGGGGGTTGCCTCCACCTGAGGAAGATGATCCTAGATTTCGGTGTTGGTGGCAATATTTCGGCCACCTTGGAAGCCAGAATATTACCACCATCACCAAGATCGGGATCTTCTTTCCTCGGTGGAGGCACACCGCCGATATTGGTGTTGGTGTCAACCTCTGGACCTGCGAAAATTGAGAGGGACGGAAAGAGGGAGAGGGAGAGAGAGAGAGGAGGGGAGAGGAGGAGGAGGGACGCGAGCCCGAGAGCGGTCCAAGCCTTGCCGCGACGAGCGTGAGATCGGGGACGGAGGCCCCCGTGCGGGGCGCAGAAAACGCCCCGACGCCTCGAGGAGCACGGGAGGGGAAGCCTCACGGGACACTGGGGGGGAAGCAAAAACGCGGAAACGGCTACGCGAATCTTTTTGCCCCACCCAAACCAAACTAACGACCACCGCGTGGGGAACGCTACCACTGACGACTGCGAAACTGGGGAGTCGATGGGCAGCCTTACCGCAGGACCGTCCTTGCCATTTCCTCCCAAGTGAGACGACGACGCCGGCGCGGAAAGAGAAAGGTCGGGAGGAGGAGGGGGATGAGGAGATACGGATGATAGACAAATCATCCAACCCCATCCGCTACGGCAAACTTGTGTTGTC